TTCTTTCTGGCCTATCTGCAAAGGAAGTGGTGGAATTTGCAGTTTATACAAAATTAACATGCACTTGTCCTGATCTCAGAGACCTTTGAGACCCAGCCAAGCTTTCTCACGTCACTAAGATCTGCTGTTGGTCTATTAAGGAATTAGCTGCCTCTTAGAATCATAGAATATCAGGGTTGGAAGGGACCTCAGGAGGTCATCTAGTCTAACCCCCTGCTCAAAGCAGGACCAATCCCCATAGTTGCCCCAGATCCCTAAATGGCCCCCTCAAGGATTGAACTCACAACCCTGGGTTTAGCAGGCCAATGCTCAAACCACTGAGCTATCCCTCCCCACCGTACGTTTGGTATGTTTGATCTCAACAGAGAAGACCCTGTGACATTTCCAGCACAGATGTTAATTTTTCCCATAGACCTATTTCAAGTAAATGAAACTAAGTCCCTCTAGTTGTCCACCAAATGGTAGCACAAGATTCTGCCCAACCGGCTAACGTGCTTTGACCCTAAATGAGGAAAAGCAGCGCCTCTAAGAAAAAGTTGTAATGAGATCCAGTGGTTGGAAGCTGAAGCTAGACAAACTCAGAAATAAGACGCAAATTTTTAATTGCAAAGGTAATTAACCATTGGAACAACTTGCCTGGGGGCAGGGTTTCATTCTCTATCACTTGCAGTTTTTAAGTCAAGACTGGATCTCTTTCTAAAAGCTAAGGAGTACTTGTGGCACCTTAGAGACTAACCAATTTATTTGAGCATGAGCTTTCGTGAGCTACAGCTCACTTCCACGGTATGCATCCGATGAAGTGAGCTGTAGCTCACGAAAGCTCATGCTCAAATAAATTGGTTAGTCTCTAAGGTGCCACAAGTACTCCTGTTCTTTTTGCGAATGCAGACTAACACGGCTGTTACCCTGAAACCTTTCTAAAAGCTATGCCATAGCTCAACCAGAAGTTAGGGTTCTGATGCAGGAATTACTGGGTGAGGTTCTTTGGCCTGTGTTATGCAGGAGGTGATCAAGATGGTCTCTTCTGGTCTTCAAATCTACAAAAACGTGAATTCAGTCTCCAGGGCCCATTCAGTTCTTGGCCTCTCTGATGAAACTGCCAAAAATGGGGGGGGAAGGAGCGTGTGTGGGGTGTGTGTGTGTGGAATTAGTGTCAGTTGTGAGGCTGAATTTTGTGATGTGGACACCTGGCACTAGATGGCACCCACTTTTCAGAGGGTGATATATGCCACTGTCGCCTAGTACTTTGGAAGTAGGAGGATAGCAGAAAGGGTCTTTTAGTGGTCATTTTTAATACGTTATGTTAAAGGAATCAAGTTTTTACAGCAAATACTAGAACAAAGAACTGAACATTGTAGCTAGGAGGAGGAAGAAGAGCCAGAAAACAGCTAGTAGGTGGTAACAACTTTCTATCATTTCTACTGAGCGGTGAAGCAGCTGAGTACGGAGTTTCTGGGGCCCCATTTAGAGTGAGGCGAACTATGTTCTTCAATACCAGCAGAACACCGCGAGTGTTAAGAACTGGACTCAAGAAGCCATTTGCAGTGCATAACAACAATATTGAACCTACTAACTTATGAGCAACACTACCTACTTTTGTACGCCAGTCCCTGGCACTTTTTATATTAGCTAGCTACATATGCACATATCTACAACTTTGATACAGGACTCTTGTAACTGTGAGGTCTGGTCTAGGGAAAGCAAGTTAGCACCTTTTGGGGCGGGGTGAGGAGAAGTACATTTAAAATAGTTCTGGCTAACACCACTTCTCTCTAGTGTAGACTGAGCCATTGTCTGGCATGGAGAAGATCTGCATACATTAGGGGGGAGAGAGGCCAGGGCTGCTGATCCGACAATTTTCATCAGTAGTGGGTTCACTTTAAAACCTTGGTTTGGTTGACCGGTTGATTGACTGAGGTGGAAAAACTTATCTGAAATCAGACATGAGAGAAAAATTGGGCCCTGAAAAATTCTCTAACAGCGCAAAAATCAATGGGCATTTATGAACATTTCTGGCCTAGGCATCGAGAAGATGACTACCTTGAGGACTACCACGGTCTTCTAGGAGTGGGGATCATATTACAATTCTAGATGGAGACCCCTAGGTGGCAGCATAGGTGCACTCAAACGATTGGCATTGCCATGGGTTGAGAACTGCACTCTGACAGGCCTTGCAAGTGGTCAGAATCATTTATCTTAGATGCTCTGGAGTAGAACGTTAAACTCTCCTAGGTCCAGACTGGAAACCCAGAGTGAGTCGTACTGTGATTCTGATATAGGCACTTTGGAGATTTCTCTTCCAGGAGAGAGGAACAATGCAAACACCGACTGCTTTATCTCATGTCCTCCTTTTAGCTGCTATTAATGTTACACAGCCCATCAGCACATAAATCACACTTGTGTTTCCCACGCACTGAATACTAATTCTAATGCTACACTACAAAAAGTAATTTTCCTTATGTTGATATTCACCCCTTTTTGTCAACTGCTGGAAATGGGCCACATCCACCCTAACTGAATTGGCCTCGTTCGCACTGACCTCCCCTCCCCCCTCACTTGGTGAGGCAACTCCCATCTTTTAATGTGCTGTGTATTTATACCTGCCTACTGTAATTTTCCACTCCATGCATCTGATGAAGTGGGTTATAGCCCATGAAAACTTGTGCCCAAATAAATTTGTTAGTCTCTAAGGTGCCACAAGGACTCCTCGTTGTTTTTGCTGATACAGACGAACATGGGTACCCCTCTGAAACCTGTACTAAATTGGTGCAAAGTGGCAGTACCTTCTTCTGACTTCCATTTCCTACCCAATTAAACACTGGGGGAGGAGTCTTGCCCCTGGGGTTGTAAACACTCCTTAGCTGGCCGGAAGAGACTTCCCAAGCATGGAGGCAGCTGGGTGTGGGAGTGAGTGGGATTGCAGCACGCAACACTGGGATGGTTGTGAGTAGCTCTGTGGAGCCCAGTTCACTGTAATCAGAGGTGTGACGGCAGCACGTATAGATGTACCCACTCTAGCTTTGACCTCGTTCGCTCGAGGAACAATAGTTTGCATGGGCTAGCCACGCAGGTACAAACCCAGGGTCCCCAGTGCGCGCATACAGCCTGTCCTGCCGCGGCTTCATTGTTATAATTACTGGCTCTAAATCAGCTCGCTCACCTCAGGAATGTGTACAGGTGCAACCACACCTCTGATTGCAGTGTAAACATAGTTCTGCTAAGAGCTGCTGCAGGCCCTATGGCTGGGAGTTTTGTGCAGTGGCCCTTCGGGTGGATGTAGTCTACAGCTTATGACTTACAGTGCTGAGCGTAGTAGCTAGATCTAGGTCCTAATCTGTTACAGACTTCTTGGGTGACCTTGGGCAAGTCACTTATCCTCTGTGCCTCAGTTTCGCATCTGTACAATGGGGATAATAGCACTGCCCTGTCTCACGGGGGTGTTCTGAGGATACACACATTAAAGACTGTGAAGTGCTAAGATACTACTATTGACTGCTAGGCACCTGCTGTCTAACTTACCCCTGTTGTCAAGGTCATTGCTGAAATTAGCCCACAAGAGCCTCATTTAATTACTTTTGGTTCAGGCTCTGGCCTACTGGAGGTAACTCTCAGACCAAGTAATTGTGTATTATGGGAAAACTATTGTTTCTCATAACTAAGGTTGCAACAAGGATGCCATTGTAAGGAACAATCCTCCACACACACCCCACCTCACCGTGAACAGAGAAAATAACCTAGTACATCTTTTTCCATGATTAGTTTATATTGTGGGAGCAGGAGGGAGGTGGGGGCATTTACCTCTTTGTAAAGGACCCCATTTAGCAATGCTTTTACTTTTATTATTTGAGGCCAAAGGTGTAAATAGTGCTTTAAAAATACCTAGAAAGACAAGGTTCCTTCCTCTGAAAATTTGCAGTCTTGCTCTGGTTCTTACAATCTGTTTTTAAGTTAGTTAGTGTTCCAGCTACTAAACCACAGTTCAAATGGTATCAATCTTGCTATCTTATTCTGGGTGTGGCTGACTTTATGTACATGCTGCCTTGGCTAGAGAGTGTTGACTAACCTTTCTTGAGCTGGAAAATCACAGGAAATCACAAACACAACCACCACCAGGTTATTTTTCAGGTTTTTGTCTGCTGTTTCTTTTTTCTCATATGGAGTATCAGATTTGTAGGTGCTAATCTCCATATTTCTTAGAGTAGAAAGAAAGTGACTGAAGGTTCTGAAACAGCTTCCCTTGCGCAGTGGGGACAAACTACCTAAATAGTTCTAAGATGAAGATGCTCAATACATTTATGAAGGGGGTTACAGGAAGGGGTTGCCTGCAATGGCAGGAGACTGGAGTCAGTGACCCAAGAGGTCCCTTCCCCTTCTATATCCCAATGAAAGGCCATCCTGTCATCTATTGGCCAGATCCTCAGTGATGTACCTCCGGATAGCACCGCTGAAGTCAATGAACCTCTGCTGATTTACACCAGCGGTTCTCAACCTTTCTCTTTCTGAGCCCTCCACCCTTCCAACATGCTATAAAAACTCCATGGCCCAGCTGTGCCACAAGAACTGTTTTAACCGTGAAGCTGAGCTGTTCAGGCTTCAGCTCCAGCAGGGCTCCAGGCTGCAGTCCCAGGTAGCAGGGCTTCGGCTTTCTGCCCTGGGCCCTAGCGAGTCTAATGCCAGCCATGCTTGGTGAACCCCCTGAAAGCTGCTTGCGGCTCCCCAGTGGGCCCCAGACCTTGGTTGAGAACCACTGACTTACACCACTGGAAAATCTGGCCCAGTTCATCTAAGTCAAAACACTACTGTGATGGGATCCAAGCTAAGATCCTAAATTCCCAGGCTGATGGGGTAGAGGGCGTTACAAGACACAACTCATGATTATCCCCTCTGCTGGATGAGCTGAGTGGCTGTGCTGTGGATTATCTTGCATCTGACTCTTCTCCCTCAGAAAGCAGGTGACTGTTATATTTGCAGTAACAGCATTCAAGACTCCAGAGGTCCAGTTAGAAAAAATAACAACTGCTTTTAATTAAAAAGCTTAATTCGACTATGCTCAATTCAAACTATACGGGCAGGAACATTCTGGCTTATCCACAGCTCCCACTCACAGGCTACTGAGTGACAACACAGTGAGCCAGTAAAACGCAAGGTATAATCATTACATCATCAGAACAAGCTTTCTCCAGCAATGATTGTATTAGTAGGAGCATTGCCAGCAGATCGAGGGAAGTGATTATTCCCTCTATTCGGCACTGGTAAGGCCACATCTGGAGTACTGCGTCCAGTTTTGGTCCCCCCACTACAGAAGGGATGTGGACAAATTGGAGAGAGTCCAGCAGAGAGCAACGAAAATGATTAGGGGGCTGGGGCACATGACTTATGAGGAGAGGCTGAGGGAACTGGGGTGATTTAGTCTGCAGAAGAGAAGAGTGAGGGAGGATTTGATAGCGGCCTTCAACTACCTGAAGGGGGGTTCCAATGAGGATGGAGCTCGGCTGTTCTCAGTGGTGGCAGATGACACAACAAGGAGCAATAGTCTCAAGTTGCAGTGGGGGAGGTCTAGGTTGGATATTAGGAAACACTATTTCACTAGGAGGGTGATGAAGCGCTGGAATGGGTTACCTAGGGAGGTGGTGGAATCTCCATCCTTAGAGGTTTTTAAGGCCTGGCTTGACAAAGCCTTGGCTGGGATGATTTAGTTGGTGTTGGTCCTGCTTTGAGCAGGGGGTTGGACTAGATGACCTTCTGAGATCTCTTCCAACCCTGATATTCTATGATACTGGGGGCAGACTAATGCTATTTCCGTCATGTAGGTTTTGGGGAGGGCGGCATTAAGGAGTGCTACAGATTTTAGAAGATTCCATGAGCACTGGCGATGGGTGAACCTGATGAAGGAAGAGGTTTTCTGAAACCCCATGAATGACTTTTTGGGGAGGGTTCCCAAAAATAGTTCCACTTCCCCAAACCTTTCTGTTCCCTGTACTTGAAACTCAGATTTGTCACGAGGTTGTTTCAGTTTAAAGAAATGCCGGTGTGATTTCTAGCTTAAAGAGCATGGGCTGAGTGTTCGGGACCAAAGAGCCCTGCTACAGTTAGGATGGCACAAGCGGGTGCTTTATAAACAAAGTAGACATTTGGACTTTGCATTAGCATTGTCCCCACTCCTCACTCCCTTTCACACTTTCGGCATTCGATTGTTTTTTCTCTGCTTTTTTTTTTTTGTTCGTAGTCTTTCCCAAACAGAACTTGAGCCAAACTTTTGAGCCTATGAGGTCCGATTAATGCAGCACCGTTGACTATACTGTACATGGTTGTAGGAGGTCACCCTTTGTATTAAAGTTCCAGTCAAGTACATAAAAGATTGTTATAGAGAGGACGGTGATAAATTGTTCTCCTTATGCACTGAGGACAGGACAAGAATTAATGGATTTAAATTGCAGCAAGGGCAGTTTAGGTTGGACATTAGGAAAAACTTCCTAACTGTGAAGGTAGTTAAGCACTGGAACACGTTACCTAGGGGGGCTGTGGAATCTCCATCATTGGAGGTTTTTAAGAACAGGTTAGATAAACACCTGCCAGCGATGGTCTAGATCAGGAGTAGTCAATAGGTATACTGCGAGCCAAATCCAGACCACCAGACGTTTTTGAACGGACTCCGAAATCTACATATTTACTTATTATTATAATTTTTTAAAATTATTTTCTCTGGAATCTGGACCCTGACTATACCTTGACCAAGAAATTTGCACCTTGACAAAAAATAATTGACTACTCCAGGTCTAGATAATACTTAGTCCTGTCTCAGTGCAGGGGACTGGACTAAGATCATATCAAGATCCCTTCCAGTCCTCAATTTCTATGATTCTGTGAGTTATAAATGGTTTATGAAGGGTTAATAAATGATGTTATAAGCAGGTTACAGACATCAGTCGCATGTGTTATAGATGATTAAAAGCACACAATTAGCATGTTATGTTTATAAGCAATCTATTGGCCTATTGGAGTCCACAACAATCTAAAATGATTGACTAACCATTTATTAAAACAACAGTTATGATTTATTAACCTGTTATAGACTATTTATAAATGGAACCTTAATATAAAGTGTGACGGGACAATATACTTTGGGGAACAATCCTGCACTGAACTTCCGGGGGGGAGGGGTGCATAAGGTGATCTAGTTGGTTTTATCCATCTCTATGACAGCAATCCTAAAATTTAGACTTTATTCTGAAAACTGTAATTTCACTCAGGCTAGGAGCAGAGGATGGAGAAAAAGGATTTAACTGTAGGATGTGGTATAATGTCCAAACAAACTCAGAGCAGTTGCCTATGTAATGATAAGGCCACAGGCTCTTCCAAGTTCCTGGTTCCAGTTTTTCAGTGTTATTTTTGTTCCCCTCTGAGAAACTTAAAACCATCAGTCCTTTCTCCCCGGACAAGTGTTATCACCCTTCAGGCCAGGGAACTGGTGTGTGACAGAGAGATTCCTTCAGGGCCACTGTGAATGGGCATCATGTACAATCAGCATGTGAAACTCCCTGCCACATGGTATTATTCATGCTGAGTGTTTAGCAGAATTCAAAAAATTATTGACCATGTATACGGATAACATGAACAGAGTAGGAGTAAAAAAACAAAAGAGAGAGTTTTGAAAAGGCTGTAAACCCTCCTACTTCAGGGCATAAACCAACCTCTCACTACTAGAGGTCAGGAAGGGACTTTCCCTAGAGGAAGATTAACCTGTAGAGCTCCTTACACCCTCCTCTGAACCAGCTGGTGCTGGCCATTCACAGCAACAGAATTCTGGACAAGAGAGATCCCTGGTTCAACCCAGTCTGGCAATTCCTATCTGAAGGGGGAGGATAATCCCCCATGCAGCTGTTCTCCATGTGTGTGCAAATCCAGGTCCGTTCTCTTATTTTCTTTTGTCCCTGGGATCACTCATGGATTTCATGAAGTCCTGGATCTCCTGCTCCAGCACCTTGTTCCTCTTTTCAATGTCTTCCCGTGAGCGCTCCACATTCTGAAGCTTCAGTTCCAGCGCCGCAAACTTCTTCTTCTCTTTCTCGATCTCTTCATTCAGTCGTACCACTTTGGCCCAGACTTCGTAGTTCTCCTTCTGGAGGCTGCAATGGGAAGGACAGGGGACATCATGTGGCTTCTGGTAGCTCATACCTCTACGTCATCCAGCAATACAATACTTGGCAGTGCTACCCTGAATGATGAACAGCCTCGTTACCCAATCCCATAACACTTTGTCATGCCCAATGAATCCATAGCAACTAAAAAGCTCTGGGCATAATTATGAGCCAGATTGTGTCTCTTGGCTACAGATCTGTACTGGAGCTGGGGCAGAGCTCAAGTGACCTAGAAGGAGCTTTGCAGCACTATAGAAGGGTCTACCATCGTGGTTTTCAACCTTTTTTCATTTGCGGACCACTTTGGAAATTTTGAATGGAGGCGCAGACCCCTTTGGAAATCTGTTGTCTATACGTAGCTGAAATCTGTTCAGTCAGTTTTCAGTCTAAGTTTTGCTGACCCTTTAGACATAGTGGGATCTGCAGACCACAGGTTGAGAACCACTGGCCCAGCACTTGCGTCCCTTCACTGGCAGCAGCAGGGATGCATGGATCTGTGAGTTCGGGGCGTCTATGGGTTGCTAGATAGATATGCAGTTATGTCTGGTCCTTAAAAAGGGGGCAAAAAGGATGGGGGGACAAAGATGCATGCACCCTCCTCTGCTCTTGCAAACTCACAAAGGGGCCTGCGGCACTGGGGCCCTATAGATGGGAACCCATCTAGAGCTGGTTGGGTATTTTTCAATGAAACTTTTTTTGCTGGAAAATGGCAAAAACTGAAACTTTTCATGGGAAAAGGCGAGTTTCGACAATTTCTTGACTCCAAACGTTTTTGAAGCAAAGTTTAGAAGGTGTCGATATGTCCCATTTCCACATTTGCTAACTGAAACTTTTTGGTTTTCCTGTTCAAAACAACTCTTTGTTTCAAAATTTAAACTGATTATAGGACACACACAAAATTAGAAAACGCAAATGGTCAAAATTAAAACAAAATCTTTTGAAATTATCAAAACGAAACATTGTTGATTGGCCTGATCTGAAAAAAAAAAAATCAGAGTATGGGATTGTGAAAATTTTCACAGTTTTGACTTTTCATCCCAATTTTGGATCTCAATTTGGGACAAGGAAAATTTCCAAAAATCTCATAATTTTTTGGTGAAATGGAAAAACAGATTCTCTCCCAGCTTGAGTCCAAACCAATATTTCAGATGAGAGCCACCCTTAACTGCAGAAGTTTGGTTCCAAATCCAAGTTTCATGGCTGGCCCCGATCTCTATAATGGCCAAGTCCATAGTAATTAATATTGCCTAATATTAATATGGTAATAATATGATACTAAAGAAACATTAGTAATTACAGCTATATGATAGTGCAGTAACACTCGGAATTAACAGTATTAAGTGTATGATATGATACTGTAGTAATGTAAGTAATCACTACTTCATGATACTATAGTAATAACTCACGTATAATAATGATACTATAATACAGGGGTCTCAAACTCAATTTACCTTAGGGCCAGCGTCAGTCCTCAAATCCTCCCTTAGGGCCAATAATGTCACTCATGCCGCCCAGAACCCGCCCCCACCAACACTCCACCCCCCACCTGCCTAAGGCTCTGGGAGGGAGTTTGGTTGGGGGAGGAGGTCTGTGGTAGGGGATTGGGGTGCAGGCTCTGGGAGGGAGTTTGGGTGCAGAAGGGGTGAGAGGTTGGGCTTTGGGAGGGAGTTTGGGTGGGGGAGGGGGTCTGGGGTGCAGGCTCTGGGCTGGGGCAGGGGGTGGGGGTGCAGGAGGAGGGGGTGGGGTTGCAGGCTCTGGGAGGGAGTTTGGGGGCAGGAGGGGGTATACGGGGAGGGGGCGGGGGTGCAGGCTCTGTGAGGGGCTCGGGGCTTATGTGGGGCTCCAAGGCGGGGTGGGCCGGGGGGGGCCTCCGTGCACTGCCGCCCCCCAGGTACTGCCCCCGCAGCTTCCCATTGGCCGCAGGGGCGCTTGGGGCAGGGGCAGCGTGCGGAGGGACAGCCCCGCCCTGCCCCGCCCCGCCCCGGGGCCACAGGGACGGGACGGCAGACACATGGAGCGAGCGGGCAGAAGCCGCTTAGCTCCGCTGCACGGCCAGTGGTGGCGGGGCCCCGGGCCATTGTAAATTGCACGTGGGGGGTGAGTGCCCAGGGGTGGCAGGCAGGGCCAAGGGAGAGACCCAGCCCCAAAATTGCTGGGGAGGTTCTCAGGCCGCAGATGGCCCACGGGCCCAGACTTTGAGACCCCTGCTACAATAGTATATGATAGTAACATTAGAAATTACAGAATACTACAGTAATACCAGAAATTAATCTTATATAGTATTAATACTATCATACATTACAATAAAATCAGTCATTAGTATTATATGATGCTATAGTAACACTAGTAATTAACCCTTTATGATATAATACTATTACACTGCGAGTTGAGGTTTTCACACTCTCCTGAATGCAGCACTGAGAATTATTTACCTTTGCGAGGTGAGGTGGGTCATATTTTTTATTGGACCAACTTCTAAAAATCGTTATAAAATCTATTACCCCACCCAACTTGTCTTTCTACTATCCTGGGACCCAACACGTCTACAACAACACTGCAAACCATCAGTTACCTTTTAATTTGCTCTTCATAGTCCTTTTTCTGCGTTTCCATTTCTTTTTTCAGCCCCAGGGTCACCTTTCGAAGGGCCTCCAGGTTCTCCTGACCAGAGCCACAGTCCTCAGCACCGATGTTTGGACCCGATAGTTCCTTTGGCACAAGGCTGGGGCTTTGGTTTGCTAACAAATCTTTCTTGGAGGTGCTGCTTACTGTGCAAGCACTCTCCCCACGCTCTGCCTGGCAGGTAGGGACATTGTCGTAGGTCGAAGTCCGGTGAAGGTCGAGCAGCTTAAAAAGATCCTGAGACAATGTTCTTTTGTGTCCATCTGTCGGGGAAGTAGGAGACAACTGACTTCCTGAAGATGTCCAGAAGTCATTGTTGAATATGTCATTTTTATCGCTGCTGGCTTTCTCCCCCTGAGAGGAAGCAGTTAGGAAGGATTTCCTGTTAGGAAGGGTCTGAGTTCTTTTCCTGGACTGTATTTTCCACATTTCCAGCAAATCTTTGGGTTGGTTTACATCATCTTCGAGAGATGCGCCCAGTCTGACTGCTGCTCTGGAGGAAGTGGGACTGCTGGTATCTAGGTCATCTCTCTGAAAATAGAGCCAAGAATATGAGAGAGTAATTCCATTTTCATTCACACACAGTAAGATGACTGTACTGATGACAGTTCAAATGACTTTGTGGTGACAAAAGTAAAGCCATGCTTTATATTCAAGTTCATTTATAACTCGTTAAGAAATGATGAGTGGACATTGTAAGTAGGGCTCGTAAAAAGAATTTCCGTCAAAGGATTTTCTCTGGAAAAGTGGGTTTTCCACTGACTTAAAATTTCTGTGGAAAGTATCTGCTTTCAAGGGACAATTTTGACTTTTTGTCAAAAAATGAAAACTAATTTTTTTTAGTTTTCCAGCCAAAAACCAAAAAATTTTCGTCTGAAAATTTAACTTTTTATTTTTTGCTGGAAACTTTTTGGTTTGTAGTTTTTCAATGAAAAGTATAAATTTTTCATCTAAAAGAAACCCATTTTCCAACCAAATGTAGTTATAGTCATATTACAGGGAGACTGTCACGCGGGAGACCGGGGTTCGATTCCCCAATGGGGAAGCGCTGAATTTTACAGGGGAGGGATAGCTCAGTGGTTTGAGCATTGGCCTGCTAAACCCAGTGTTGTCAGTTCAATCCTTGAGGAGGCCATTTAGGGATCTAGGACAAAAATTTGGGATTGGTCCTGCTTTAAGCAGGGGGTTGGACTAGATGACCTCCTGAGGTCCCTTCCAACCCTGATATTCTATGATTCTATGACTCTGCTACTGGCCTACTGGGTGACCATTGGCAAGTCACTTCACCTCTCCGTGTCCCAATTTCCCCACCTGTGCAATGGGGATAATAATACTGACCTCCTCCATAAAGCACTTTGAGATCCCATGGTTGAAACGTTCTCAAAAAGAGCTGGGAATTATTATTATCTCACAGGATCGAGTCTTACCCTTGGGCCTTGGGTTACAGTATTTGCCTTGGATGCTGGTGGATCTTCTGCAGCATCCCAGCCCACGGAACTGCGTGGCACTTGGATCTTCTTAGAATCGTTCCTTTGGGTGGCGGGTGGAGAAGGGGGCTCATCTTTGGACACGGGGAAGAGCTTGGCATGGTCACTTATCATCACAGTCATCACTCTCTGGATCTGGGGGGTGCCTGCAATAGAAAAGAGCCACGTTCTACAGCGCCCAGGGAGAACTCACTCATACCATTATTTTAAATCAGGCACTCAACCCTAAATTCTTTCCTTCCTAGTATTCACTGTACATTATTAAAAAGAGAGTGGAATTTGGGTTTTGTGTGAAATTCTTCCCTGTAAAAATCGTGGGACTTAAGCTTCACATTCAGTGGTCACCGTTTCTTAGCTCTATGGAGTGAGCAAATCTTATACACCCAAAGCATTTCCCTATTAGTTCTGGTGCATTTTCCCCTTGGCCACAAAGTTCAGTGGAGAGGTCAAAATGTCTGGATCATCTTGAGTGACTATTTTCTGGAGTTCCCTGTGTGGTTGCAAAGGTACGAAAGAATTCCACACCTTTCTAAGGCCCAGAACATTGCTTACCCACCCTTGTATGGATGGAATGCACAATACAAGAGCTAGGTATTATTATTGTAGGGCCATTTGTTGCCTGATTGACCTGCCGTGGTCTGAGATACCAGGTAGAATGTTTTCTGTCCAGGCAAGATGGCGCTTTGGCTTCTATACTGTGTCTGACTTAGGAAGTTCATTGTTTTAATCCTTTGGATACAGTGATCACCTGAATACCACCTAATACTGTATACCACTTGAATACTGCCTAAGTCAATGGTGTTACAGGATTCCATTGTACCTCTCATAATAACTGCAGGGTCCTCTATCTTCGGCCTGATGATATTCACTCCAATCACTGTTGCCAGGTTATCCACACTCATCTTGTTGACACTGGAGTTCAGCTGTATTTCATGTAGGAACCTGCCGGAATCCAAGGGGAAAAATTCCACATTGGAAAACAAACAGTCTGAAGATAAAGCTGTTAAAGGTGTTATAAAATCCTAATAATCCAGCCAGCGCTTGCTCCAGGCCGCAGGGACAGAAACATAGATACAGGCCCCTTATTATTTCAGAGCACACTGAGACTTTGTCTTTTAGGCATCTCTACAGAAGCCAAATCTGTCAAGCAGAAAAAGAGTTGTATCCCCCCCCAAAACAAAAAGAAACAAAGATTGGTTTGATCCTCAATGATGTTGCCAAAGAAAAATGAGACAGCAAGCAGGGCTGGGGTGGGGCGAAACTCAACAGTTTCACTGTGCAAGAGTTTGGCTAAATACTGTCCTTGATTCTGACTCTCGTGGATTCAATGTGCTAGACATGGGAGCGCACATACAGGGCCAAATTGAGCTCACTGAGGTCAGTAAATTCATAGGCTTTAAGGTGAGAAGGGGGCATTTTGATCATCTGTTCTGTGGAGCATCTATTCTGACTTCCTGTATAACAGTGGCCAGAGAATTTCACCCACAAATTACTGCATCCAGCATAAAATTATGTCTCCATTCACCAGGGCATGATTTAACCCACAGAGTTTCCCTCTCAGTTTTGGGCCAAGCAAAATTTGTGACAACCCCTGAATTTTTAACAGGTTTCTCATTAAAACTAATTGAAACCATGTGTCAGGTAGTTTTTTATGAGAATCTACAAACTGGCTCATGTTTACTCAAAGCACAAAAAGGTTTGTGAATCTCTGCTCAAGCCAGAAAATCTAGACCCAGGTAACAAACCACCCAAAGTTCGGGAGTGTCCAGATCTGAGATTTTGGTTCAGGCCTTTGCAGTGTGTTGATTCAGATTCAGGTTCAGATTTCAGACTCTCCCAGTGTCCTGGGACATTTGGATCCAGGAGGTTGGTGAGAGCCTGTCTTTTTGCACCTGAGCTGAATTTCAAGTCTGCAAAAGAAAAGAAAAATGAAAAGAAAAAACCCAAAGCAGGTGAGTTTTGCATGGTTTGGGATTTATTGGTAGACAATTTTGTTCAAATCTCTTCAGCTCATCTGTCCAGTTACAGAGAAATTCAGCCTTGTGCAGGGGGTCACAAAAGAGCTTAGTTGCCTGAAGTTTTAAGGGGAACCAGAGTGGAGCCTAAGGCAGCCTAGTGGTTGCTCTCTGCACAAGTGTCAGTTTCACCTTTGGAGACTAAGGCCTAGAACCCCAGATGCACCATGATGCAAGTTGGGCTGTTTGTACATGATGAAAGAGCACATACCTGCAGATATAACTGAGGAGGTTGTAATTGACTCGGGGAAGCACGGACAACTGCTTCACTAGCTCCTGATGACCCTAAATACAATTTAAAAATTGCTTTGTAAAGGCTTATAAACTTATCTGAATTCCAAACGATCTGTGAATTTGCCCAGTTTCTCCAACGACATCCTGGTGTGGTATCTCCACTCAGTTCTTGCTCGCCTTTGGAACTAAATCCACATGTTTATTTCTTTAGAAGCCCTGATACGTGACACGGCCAAGATTTTCTAAGAGGCTGAATCATCAGTCGGGGCCATATTTTCAAGAGATCTCACCTCCCGTTAAAGCCGCAAAATAAGTGGCCAGATTTTCAGAAGCACTCCACTCTGAAACGTGCTGAGCTCTTTTCAGAATCTGACCTAGCATGTTCTTCTTACATTTATTGTGTCAAATTATTTATCACATGGCATGGGTGATCCCAAAGTGAAACTACCTGCAGAAAGCACCCACCACTGAAATGCAGCCACCACTGGGATGAAACACAGCAGCTCTTTGAGAACACTCTGTTGATTAACAGATGTGCCTTACTCTTGTGTAGAGTGGTCCAAAAGACAGGAACAAAATTGTGGTAGCACCTAGGAGTCTCAGCCGTGGACCAGGACCCCATTGTGCTTGCTGCTGTACAAACACAGAACAAAAAGAAAGGCTCTGCCCCAATGAACTAAAAACTTCCATTGACAAATTAAAAGTCAAAGGAAATGTCAACCTGATCTTTTCTGACTATCTCTAAAGGTAAGTTTTACACCACACACATTATCATAGTCCCGTTAGTGTGATGGACAACACTGATTAGTCTGATCCAGTATGGCGATTCCTATGTTTCTATCTGAGTGACTGGAATGTTAAAAGAAACCCATGGGTTCTCAGCGTCTATATATATAGATCTCCCCTCAGTCCCCCACAGGTAGCGACACACAATGGCTGGTTGGTTGGATGTGTAGCTTCTGTGAGAGAGCAAGGCTGAAGTCTTCTGTTTGACATGTCACCCCCAGTAACTCTTCTCTGTTCTTGGAATGAGCTTCTTGCTGCGGGGCCAGCTGCTAAGAAAGTTCTGATCCCAATGACTCACTCATATTTCCCCAAACCATTGTTCCCATCTGTTCTTTGCTTCTCTCAACCTCTGCATTTGCCCCATCTCCTTTCGTGCTCACCCACCGACCACCATCTCTACTCAGAGTGACACTGCAGGATGTTGCACTTCCTTCCTCTGATAGTTGTTTGCACTGATCATTTACTGCAGGGACTCAGCTAAAAAAGGAAATATGAGAGACGGGGCAGCTTTCAGGATTCGCACACCCCTGACAGCTAAACCTTAAGATAGGTAAGCCCATGTGGTCAGACTGGGGAGCTAAGTTTACTTATTTTAACAGCAATTCAGACATGAAGACACATTCTGGATTTAAAACCCAGTTAGTCACGCACAAACCCCTCTAACATGCAACTGAGTGCGCACACAGACACTCTTCTGCTGGAAGTGACAATACCAAGGTGGGGCCTTCAGGGTGGATGAGTCAAGGGATGAAGGGGAGAAAGCAAAGAGTATCTTTCCCTAGGGCACCAATACTGGCCAGGATGCTAGTGTATCTTCTCAGCTACTTTTCTGAGACTGTTAAGCACCAAATTTGTCCCCCGCGTAAGTCCATGGCCGTCGGTGAACCCCAAACTTGGTCGAGTTACACCAGCGGGGTTGTTGTTAATTATATTTACTGCGGTAGTACTCTAAGGGCCAACCAAAAATATGGCCCCATTGTGCTAGGCACTGCACAGAGTAGTAGACAGTCCCTGCCCCAAATTGTGTCTCTTCTTTTCTATATATCTATTCCCATACGCCTCCCTTTATCTAATCTATCTACCTCGCACATCCATCACCATTGTGTTTAAGCATTGAATTGTAGATGCTTTTGATTCGTAAAGCACTTCAATTTCCAATAAGTGCTTTTTTAAGGCGTGGGGGGAATAAATGCACAGTCATTGGTACCTTCATTTCATCGGCATTCAGAAGCATTCCACACAGGAGGAAGTCCTCATACTGCAACCAGGGTACAACCGGCTCTGGGAGTTCCCTCAGGTAGAGTTTGAACAAAGATGCCACCGTATGTACATCTGTATCGCTGTAGAATAAATGGTGAGATTGGAATAAAAGGATACACTCAACTGAGACTCAGACGCTGTTGGCTAGGGAACCATACATCTGTTTTGTTCATCTTGGTTGAGTGAATTTAGCGTTCAGGAAAGGTGCCTATTTTGAGCAACAATAGCTTCCCCCTCAGGAGAGGAGAGGGGCCGCAAAGGAACAAGAGGACAATTAAAGAGTGGGGACAAATTAAAATTGTAGGAGCAGGCCACCAGTGGGGGACACCAGGCAGAGAACCCCAGACAGCACCCACTGCTTTGAGACGGGACTAAGGGAGACAGTGGAAGAGAAGTGGATGCTTGGCAGATCGTTCTGCTCGGCCATAGCGTTGGTGGTTTCCCAGCATTCATAATCAGGGTAGTGTTTTCCTAGCCTATATTTGAGTGATGGGTGTTTTTATGCATTTACTTAACAAGCAAATTTTTCTAGCACTCACATATTTGGCAGGCCTTTTCCATTCAGAGTTGGCAAAGCTTGTCTGGGTTTTTAAGGTTCACGGCAATTACTGAACATGTTCTGCGAGGACAGATGTTTGCAGCTTTGCATACCATATAGTTTATATTCTGTCAAAAAGGACACTGTCAAGATAGGTCTCTGTTTTGACCTACCTTGAAGTTGTTAAACTGTTACAATCTGCTGGCAAGTATCCACCAGGTCATCTATTTTTTAGGCTGTTGGGTTTTTTTCTTTAAAGCCGACCACTCACTCACTGAGAAATGCTTTAAAGGCCACCATTTTTGTAGACCGTATCAAAACAAAATATCATGAGCTTCACCTGCCTGCTCGGCATCAACGCTTCTCTAACAAGCACCTTGCCACAGTCCCGTGCTGGCAAAGATGACCGTGCCAAAAAAAAAAAAAAAAAAAATAGACCTTGGAAAGGAGACTGAAGTTGTTGCTGTCGTCATTATATAAAAAGAGCCAGTGACTGGTCTTCCCCAGTCCGTCCCAGGAATTAAAGTAAGAGGAGGCAGAGGGGAGCACTGATCTGCTAAAAACAGAGGAGAGCGGTCTATGGAGAATCTAGTCCTTAGTCCTTTCGCTTTGATCAGTGATCTAGGTGGCCTAACTGTCATCTAATCACCGCCAAGACCTGAGATTTTGACAACATGCCTTTGCAGATTCTAGATCAAAGCTGAGAAATGGTAACACCTGTTTTCTCTTGAGTCCTGACCCACATACAGGCCGAAGGATTGATTTCCTATTGCTGCAGATAGCGCAGCCCTATAAACATGGCATTGGGTGCGCATGCGCTTTATACTGAGGTTTCTAGATCTTCTTTTCAAATCCACTCGTGGCGAAGCGCATCCTTCTCAAACATCGTCGAGACCAGGGGTTTAGAGCAGGTGCCATTCTTGGTGCTGTCACTGGCTCACTGTGGGTGCGTCTACACAGCAAGCAGCAGCCCGCAGCCGCGCGTCTCAGAGGGCTTACGCTCACGGTGTTAAAAACACCACACTTGGGCTTACGCGAATGGTGTTAAAAATAGCAGCGTACACGCTCGGGCTCTTAAGTCTAGGGAGCAGGGTGGGCTTTAAGCCTTCAGAGCCTGGGCGCCAGTCCAAGCCACAAAGTCTACCATGGCTGGTTTTGAGTTAGCCCCACGAGCCTGAGTCTGTTGACCTGGACCCTAAGGCATGCTACCATGGTTCTGTCGACATACCCCTTGTGGCAAGTCACGTAACCACTCTGTGTCTTGCCTCTCTACCTACCTAATGCCTCATCCTGTCAACGCTTAGGCCGTGTCTCCACTAAAAAGGAATTCCTGGGACAGCTGTACCAGCAAACCCTCCTAGTGCAAACAGAACCTCTACCAGCTAAAGTGTGCTTTTGAGCTTAGACCAGTCCCCCAAAGAAAATAAGCGAAAGGGCTTTTTTGCGGGTATAACTGCAGCTACCCTCGAGCTGTTGCTGACATAACTCTGTTGGTCAGGGGTATGATATTTTTTAACAAGCAAAGCCCTCTGCTTCACTATCAGCCAATGGACGGCTCACATGCTAAAAGTTAAGCACGCATGTAAGTATTTGCAGGACTGGGGCTCTTCACAGGACTGCTGTGAGACTCGGGTTTGGTCTAGACACAGATTTTGTACTATAGAACTACTAGTGCGGGTTGTTGCTTTTTTTTTTTTTTTTTACCATTAATGTTATACTGGTGAAATCCCTAGGGTGGATTCAGTTGTACTAGTACAAAGGTGCCTTCTGCCAGTATTGCTAATTCCCTTGCCTATACAGGAGTAGTTATCCTGGTATAAGCACCTTTATACAGATATAAATGAGTCCATACTATGCAGGTTATACCATTCTAATTACACCAGTGCAGCTAAAGCGGTATGACTTCTGTGTGTAGACAAGCCCAAGACCCGTGCCATTTAAGTCAATCGGAGTTTTCCCATTGGTCCAGTGGGAGCCAAATCACTCACAGTGTTTGTAAAGAGCTTAGAGATTCTCAGTTTAAGTGTAAAGTATTATCACCATCCAATGATTCCCCTAGGGACTCACACACTGTTTATCCCAAAGCCTGTGATACAAAACCAACATTACAGGGCACTGAGAAAACAACGGCTAATCCTTTTTCTTTCATGTCCCATTGCAAAGCGTTGTCCTGCAAAAAGGCTTTACCTTCCTGCGAACCCAGCACAGGTTGTAACAAGAGGATTTGCCACAGACAGGCCAGGTTATGATTCAGAAGCTCAGAGCTGTTCTGCTCCAACAAGCAAGACCCAGGGAGGCCAGGTTTCAAACACAACAGACACAGTGACTTTCAGATGTCAGCTTGGCCCAGGGATTATTCTAAGTGTAAGGGCTGTGGTGCACCTAACTGCCTTTATGTGAACTTTCCTTTCTATATAAAGAAAAACACCCCAGAGGAACAGTGGTCTTGTGGTTAAAGTGTTGGGCTAGGCTGCTAAAAACAGTAGTTTACTTCTCAGCACTGCACCTTGGGGAAATTAATCAAAACTTTAAGTGGGCTCTAATTTGGGGGCACCTCCCTTTTTGGATGCTCAGTTTATGATAGCTCGTGCTAGATTTTCAGAAGCACTGAGCCCTTGCAACACTGTTTGATATCAGGAGCAGCCCCTCCGAAATCAGGTTCAGGGGATCTCAAAGCTGAGCTTCGCAAAATCGGCAGTCAGTTTTGAAAGGATCAGCCTAAATCCTGGTCCTCGTGGGAAAGTTGCCATTGATGTGAGCAGGACTCAAACAAGGTGCCGATGCTGCAGAGGTCAGGTAAATAAGCCCAGATCTGGCTGGTGCCTGTGGAGAAAGGGGCACTGCCATGTCTGAGAGAGAGACAGGTTCATCTACGCCCACAGAACCGTGCGCCTCCTTGTTTCCAGTATTGTGAGTGGGCCTAGATCAGAATCCCTGAGCCAGGTCTGATCCCCCAGTGCCCTGCACCTCAGAGGAGTGCTTACACCTGTCACACACATTCCAAGTCAGCAACATTTTGCACTGCCCTATGTGACTACACCAGGCTCAGGGCATGGAGAATCAGGCCCTTGTGTATATAGCACCAAGCCCCAAGATCCTTCATCAAAAGCAATCAGAGGGCTTAACCCCATCTCCAAGCAGGTGAGAAGGGTTAGGGATAACGAGACAGGATAGCTCACTGAGGGGAAGGGGTTCAATTAGGAACTAATGAGTCAAATCAGGAAGCTTTATAAAGAGAGCCCCAGAAACCTTAACCCACCCCTTTCTTTTTGCAAGGCCTGTGTGATAGAGTGCAGGGAAGGAGGGAGGGAAGGTAGCAGTTTATGCTATTACAATAACTTCTACAATAGCACATACCTGGAGGGAGGGGAGCTGAGATATAGAATGAAGCCCTTTATTGGTGATTGCAGTGGTTGGTAGAGTGTCTTGAATGTGAACTTTGTGTTAGGAAACAGAACATGGTTTGGAGGCTGGGGGGGATACAGAGAGTGGTATGAAAAATCCTCTTTTTTCAAAATGAGGTAAATCATAGAAATGCAGGACTGGAAGGGACCTTAGGAAGTCATTTAGTCCAGCCCCCCATGCTGAGGCAGGACCAGATGTTACACCTTGTCATTCATTATTATTATTCTCTGTAGTGTAGTGCCCCAGAGCCTTTGTCACGGACCAGGACCATGTTGTCCTAGGTGCTGTACCAACACAAAATGAAAGGACAGTCTGTGCCCCCAGGAGCTGACAATCTAAATATAAGACAAGAGACAACAGGTGGGGGAGTCAAGGAAACAATGGTCAACATGATAGGGCATGGTCTCTGCACACCAGCAGCCTAGCCATTGTTAAGGTTTTTTTATAGGCATCAGGGCAGAAGAGAGTTTTAAGAAGGGATCTGAAGATGGGTAATGAGGTAGCTTAATGGATGTGTACAGGGAGCAACTCCCAGGCATGGGGGGCAGCATGGGAGAAAGCACCGTGGTGCTTGTTAGAAAATTTCACAAGTCGCCAATGGACGCTAACATCCTGTGCAAGTCAGAGGCAAGTGTCAACAGCTCAACCGTGAACGAAAGATGCTACAAAGGGATAGGGCTGACTCTGAAGGGCCTTGACAGTGAGGACAAGCAGCCTGTGTTCAATGCAATAGAAAAGGGAAAACCAGTGGTGGGATATACCTGAAAGCAGGAAAGAATCAGTGGGAAAAGCAACTGGAGGATAGGATCCTTAAAGATTTAGCATGAATGAAATAAGACCCATCCAGAATCTTCTCCACTGAGCCTAATGACAATCCCCAGTTCACTTCCACCTCACCCAGACTTTCATGGCTGATGGCAAAGGCAGATGAGAGAAAACGCCATTTATGCTGAAGAAGTTGATGGCATATCATGTTCAACTCCTAGCACAGGCAGCTTCCCTGTGTCCCTCCCTTTGGGGCCTTGTTTCCCATCTGTGTCTTGACAGGTGGGAAATGAGTGGTTAAAATGGTTCCTCCTCATTACAACATTCAGTTCCTCGGCTCTGCATTTGCTGTTAATCCCAGTTTGAAAAATGACAAAACCATAGAGATTAACGCCAGAAGGGACCATCTTATCTAGTCTGACCCCCTGCACATCAGAGGCCCCTACACAAGATCCAACCCGCTCCATAAAAAGCTCAACAACCAAAATTTGATCAAGTATTACATGAGGGTCTCCTTTTGTAAGCAAAGTGTGATTGCTGATAGGTAACACCTCCTTGAAATCCTTCGCTAACCTGTCCTTCCACATTTAAAAGGAAAGGTCAGCCATGCCTGAAAGTTCCTGTCATCTCCTGACTATTTGGGGATATTTGTGGAGTGAGTTTGTGGGTCTCAGCCAAACCCCTCATTAGTGGCCATTTGTCTGCATCACCCAAGTTGCCCATTACAGTCACCAGTAACAGGTGGTTTCAGCAGATGGGCCAAGGGCTGAATGGGGCATGAGGACTAAACTCCGCCCTAGAGGTGGTTCCTCCGGGCAGGATTGGGGCACATTGTCGAGCCAGAGTTTATGGGAAAGATCTGCACTGAGGCTGTTTGCTGAGCGTGTTCTGTAGGTAAAGAGGGGACCTGAATTTCGGACAGTCCAGCACCTTTCCCCACATGGGAAGCTGGTAGCTTTCTGGGATTCTTTTCCAAAACAATAAGCATTGTTGTCTGACCAGTGTGCCCAGTTATCCCTCCAACCCTGCTCTCACAGCCCATGCTTTGACTTTCAGTTGACCCCCATCTTTTTTGAACCCTCCTTTCTAACTGGGGGCATGATCTTTCTTGCAAAATGGGAAGGGTCTTGTTTGCTTCTCCACGGAGATCAACCAGGCCAGTGACTTCCAGAAGCCTTCAGTTAACAAAAGCAGTAGATAGACAGACTGCACCCCGAAGGTCTTAGCTGGGTGGGATCAGGAAACATAAAGATTACCGGTCAAAAGATGGCCTTTCCCCAGCGTCAAATGCGTCCCTCAGCTGCTTCACCAGGTTGTCCTGGCCAGGCAGTCGGAAGATGCCCTCCTCATTCATGCCGTGCTCGCGTATGAACTCTGCACATGTCTCCACCAAGATAGGAACCAGGTGCTGCCCAAATTTCTGTTCATATGCCACAGTCTCAGCCAAGCGCTGGCCAAATACCACTAGACAGAAGAAGGGTATTGTTAATAAAGGATAGAGGTAGGCCCAGAGGCAGCGGTGGGATTTATCTCTGGTCCCTTGTAATACTGTCATTGTATGGAGCTACTTTCAAAGCTGAACAGAGGTTTGGTTGCTAGATGACAATACAGGGCCAGATCCCCAGCTCAAAGTCCACTGACTTTCATGGAGCTATGCTGATTTACATCAGCTGAGCATTCTGGCCCACCATGTCATCAAAACTTAGAAACTGCTAGATCAGACCAGAACTATGGTCCATCTAGCCTAGTATCAGTGGCCACTGCAAGATGCTTCAGGCAGTATACCAAAGGGTGCAATGGAGACGTCTTCTTGATGCTTATATGTAGCTCAGTTTATGCTCTGTCTGCCTGCTTGTTGTAAACTTCTACTGAAACTCCTTTAAAGGAAATCCCTGCCCTCAGATAAGCAGAAAAAGTCGGCTCTGAACTTCCCCAAAGTTCAGGGTTTGAGGCCACGGTTTCAATTCATTTATGCATGTTTCCGTTTATACGTTCCCTCAGCACTGCACAGCAACCAGCTGGTAATGTTAACATGCCATGGGATATGGAGATTGAGGTAGCCCATGTGGAAGTTTGCTTTATCTTTGTCTTATAATATCCAGTGGCAAACACTTTGCTACAAACATTCCTCCTGAGTGTTTGATGGCAGAGACATCAGGAGAAAATCTAAGAGGGTAACTCATAGAAACCACTGAAGAAATGACGGAAAATAAAACATCTTCCGATTAATTAAATTAACCTGTGTTAAACCCTTTCCTGCAAATAGTGTTAATATTTTACATCTTCTAAGTGCCAAACAACTGTAAACTAACCCCTCCTCCGAACACCCTGGTATTAAGTAATAGTGTCTCTGCTTTATAGATGAGGAGCCTGAAATACAGCCACGATGGGGATGTAAGAAACATGCTGGAGGAGACGAGGAATGAATATGAAAAATGCCAATAGAACAGCAAAAATGAAGAGGGCTGGGGATATGTCACTTCATTTCCCCTGCCACTGGCACACACCATGGAGGTGCCGATGAGTTAACTCCAGGTGATGCCAACGGCTCAGCAGTTCTAAAAACTGGGCCCTTCCATGTCGAGCAAGCTGTTAACATCAAGTCAAATGTTAGAACCAGGCTAGAGCTCAGGGATTCTTAGTTTCCAGTGGCCTGCTGGACCTCACTGCCTCTTTTAATCAGAGACGAGAGATCACTAGTAAAACAGAGGTCTTAAAACTAAGATGGCAAAGGAAAAACAGCCTCGTAATGCAGCGCCAGCTGGCTTTGGGCTGGGAGCCTTTCCCTAGCCTAATCCCTAATGTGTCCTCCGCCAGTCAGCTGTATTTTTAAAAAGGGGGCAAGTACCTTTCCTCCGGAGCAAAGGCTTTTTCCTCCTGAACTCCCAGCAGAAAACCATCCCTAAGGCTGGAATGCAGCAGCCCTCATCCCAGCTCTTCATCCTCGGGGCTTTAGGCATGATGACAGCAGAGACGCCCTACACCCAAGTGGCTCCAGAATATTAATGGCAAAGGGTCCTGTGGCCTCCTACAAGATTTTGCTCCGCAATGTGTTCACCTCCTGTTCCGAAGGCTGAAATAATCCTTGTGTATCTCTTACAGATCAGCATTATGCTCATAAATACTCCTGTCTGGAACCGCAAGACTTGTCAGCACCTGCCTTATGGTGTGTTTTTTTCATTGACAAAAGACTCCCTTTTGCTTTTAAATAATGAACATAAACCTGTCATTGTACTCAGTAAAAGTATAAATGGCTCCTTTTTCTTAGTAACTCATTATTTGCCATTCAGTTATCACCCTGGAGGATCATAAAAATCAACCCTCTACCAACATGGCTCTCTACATCCGTCATGCCGTCTGACACACGGGTAGCATGTCAGCCAGCTCAGAGATGCTCCTTGGGTGTCAGGCTGGTAAAGGGGCTCAGAGGCATGTTGAAAGGTTTCATTTCATTCAGTGCAGCCTCTCTGCTTTTTAACGTGGAGCAAATTAACAAACAGCTGCCTTATCTGCGTGAGTCACCAGGGGCATTTTTCAAGGGGGATGCAACCCAAGCCTAAGGCATACAGATATACAAAATAGACTGTCCTATTCTCAAGCCTGCCCTTTGGGAATCCATTAACCCCCGAGTTAATTTATAACATGGTATGGGTCAACATCACCGAAAAGAGGCCTGGATCCTCATTTACCGTGCGGCCCCTTTACACCACTCTGGAGCTTGCATTTACACTTGCTTTAAGGCCACTTTACCCTGCCAGCGCAATTCCTTTGGTGTAAATGAGCGTTAGGGCTGGAGTCTTTATTTGCGATCATGTGACTTTTTAGGGGGCTGATCTTGGAAATCCTTGCTCAAATGACCCTAGTTTTGAACCACTGATGGTACTGCAACTTTCCAAACTATCAGAGTGGGTTTTAGAGCACATAGAAAAACTGGCTGTTAAACATGAACCTAAACTACAGCAGAGTGACCGGCTTGGCTGGAATAAAGAAGCTCTAATCAATGCCAACCCACTAACATCAGGTCTTCATCTGGGTATAGTTATTATTTGAATCACCGTAGCACTGAAAGCCCCCAACTGAGATCGGGGCTCTGTTTTGCTAGGTGCTGTATAGTCACATAGTGAGAGACAGTCCCTGCCCAAAGAGCTTAGGGCTTAAATAGACAAGATGGACAGGGAAACAGAGGAGGAGAGATTTGTCCAGGTCAGTCAGAAACACAACCCATGTCTCCGGATTTCTAGTCCAGTGCTCAGTCCATTGGACTATGCTGCCTCTCTCTCTCTTGATAGATACTCAGTTCACTCCTGTATGAAATACTACTAATTCTGAAGACGAATCATTCTTGATTGCAAAGCCCGTCAGCCCAGGAATCTGAGCCCACCACAGAAGTTTCCTCTGTTGTATGCTTTACCCCGGGGCTGCTCCAAAGTCACTTGCGGAGAGTGTCAATAATGCCATAAGATCATGAGCAAAATATTTACTTTTTTTTAAAAAATGTATAGTTAGTATTATAAAGCACTGTAATGGTCATATACTACAGTGATGGGCATTCCTGGAAATCCTTAAGATAGGTGGATGAGGTTGATACTCCCTTTGCCTCTGGGCGTATCTACAACACTGACAAATTTACAAAACACTACCTTTCTAATTGGCTCGTCTCCCCCACTTCTCCCTTTGCACGGGCATAAATAGCTGCACAAGGTGCTGGGCCGTGGGGAACCGGATGCTATAATGCCCTCCTGCACCCAGCAGGGGGAGGGGAGATGACCAGGATGCCCATGTTACGAAGACAAACCTTGTGACATTCTGCCGAGAATGGGCCAGATGGCTATGGAACACAGGCAGTGTGGTTGAGAAGTTAGAGCGAGAGAATCAGTACCACTACAAAAGGTTCCCCCACCCCCACCCCCCGCTCTCCTGCTGGTAATAGCTCACCTCACCTGATCACTCTCGTTACGGTGTGTATGGTAACACCCATTGTTTCATGTTCTCTGTGTATATAAATCTCCCCACTGTATTTTCCACTGCATGCGTCCGATGAAGTGAGCTGTAGCTCACGAAAGCTTATGCTCAAATAAATTTGTTAGTCTCTAAGGTGCCACAAGTCCTCCTTTTTTTTTTTTTTGAGTTCTATTCTTGTCTCTTCCACTGACTCACTGAGAGCCCCGGCTAGAAGTTACTCTAGGGCTGGATGCCCACTGATGCCAATGGGAGTCTCTTTCCATGGGACACCTGGATCAGGTCCATAGCATCCTACTTAAATTGCAAGCTCTTTGGGGGCAGAGACAACCTTTTGCTCTGTTTGTACAGCACCTGGCACAGTGGGGTCCTGATCTGTGAGTAGGGATCCTCAGCACTTGCACAGAACAAATAAATAATAATATGTAGATAAATAACATGTAACCCTTCCATGCTCCCATTACAACAATTTACCTACCATGGCAGCTATGTTGAAAGGTTTAATTAGCATATGTAAAACGCTTTGATTTCCTTGGGTGAAAGTTAAAAATATAAGAATTGCCATACTAGGTCAGACCAAAGGTCCATCTAGCCCAGTATCCTGTCTTCTGACAGTTGCCAGTGTCAGGTGCCCCAGAGGGAATGCACAGAACAGGTCATCACCAAGTGATCCATCCCCTGTTGCCCATTCCCAGCTTCTGGCAAAAAGAAGCTAGGGACACCATCCCTGCCCATCCTGGCTAATAGCTACTGATGGATCTATCCTCCATGAATGTATCTAGTTCTTTTTTGAACCCTGTTAGTCTTGGCCTTCACAACATCCTCTGGCAAGGAGTTCCACACTTTGTGAAAGAACTACTTCCTTTTGTTTGTTTTTAAACCTGCTGCCTATTAATTTCAATTGGTGACCCCTAGTTCTTGTGTTTATGAGAAGGAGTAAATAACATTCCCTTATTTACTTTCTCCACACCAGTCATGAATTTATAGACCTCTATCATATCCCCCCTTAGTCGTCTCTTTTCCAAGCTGAAAAGTCCCAGTCTTATTAATCTCTCCTCATACGGCAGCTGTTCCATACCCCTAATCTATGCTATAGAAGCATAAGATGTTACTGAAAAGCCACCCCCAGAGCCATTTCAGCTCCCCTTTACCTCCTGATGGAGATCCCACCACTCTTCGGATAGACTTAACCCACTCATCCATCTCGGATTGGGAGTTGGCCATCAGTACATAGGAGTCTTGTCCTGTTCGATTCTGGTCTCCCGAGACCCCTGCAAAAATAATTACTCGTAAAGGGAGTTGGGGGTGGAACAAAGACACGAGCCCTTATTGATTTCTTAGCTAAGTGCTATGGGCCCAAAAAAACCCATTATCCCATTCATCTCTATCTGGCTGTAAAATGAGGTGGTGTCTCAGGGAGACGAGTTGTTTACACCATCTCTCCATCACTGAAGCTTTCCACCAAGGAAATGAACTAATAGAAAATTAACATCACGGTGGAATGAAGAGGTATCCTGTTTTCTCTCAACACTCTCCTTGGTGCATTTACCTGGTACTTTCTCCCAAAGTATTTTCCAGAGTGATTTACAAATTTGGGGCCTGACTCTCTTCCCACCACAACAATATCACACCAGCGACTTTAGAGGAGATACTCCTGGTTTACCCTGGTGTAAATAAGAGGAGGATCAGGCCCTATGTATACTGTACAGGAATCCCTTAGCCACCAGTAAAAAGCAGCCAACTCTGGAGTGGAATGTGGCACTTTTTCATCAGTTTAAGACTGTGAGTGAAGAACACACGCACAGTTGAAATTAGTCATTTTTAATTAGACCCAAATTAGGCACTGGTCAGGACACTGGAGTTCATCTCCCAGTGAGTACAGCTGGCTGGAAAATGGAATTTCTGTAATTTCCTGACATTTCAAATGTTTTGTTCTGAATCAGAAACAAATTGAAAATTGTGAAATTGCTCACAAAATGGAAATTGTGAAAAATTTTGATTTGGAAACATTTTGTTTCGAGAATGTCAAACCATAATATAATATAAAATATCAATAAAATATAAGATTGAAAATAATATTAGCCTGCTAGCAGCTAAAAGCCTATGCTATCACATGGGTGTAATCTGTAATATCAAATGGCTGAGATCTTAAAAACTGGAAGGTTGCAAACTGCAAATCCCAGTGATGGTTGAACCTGGGGATATTCTGAACAAAAAAGATCTCTGGACCATGTTTGTAGTAGTTTCCATCGTTTCACACTGACTCAACAGACGTTCTAGGCTTCAGAGTGAGGCACACAGAGTGACAATCCTGGAATCTTATTATATAGACCATATAAGAACCAACAGGAAGTCAAATGAAATGAGAACATTGAAATGAAACATTTTTACCTTATCTTATGACATGTTTTGACATTGAAATGAGACGAGAAAGCCAAAATCATTCATTTTGACACTTTTCCAATCAAAATTTTTGCCACAATCAATTGTTCCCAGAAAACATTTAGATGGCGACAAAACTGCATTTTCTCACAGAAAACCGTTCCATCAAAAAATTTTCAACCAGCTCTCCCAGTGAGTCTCCCCCATGCTTGGTGGATCTACAGCTGGGGCACCATATTAAGCCATAAGCATGCGATGTCTAGCCTTATGAGACAAGAAGCAGACAGGAGATCTGTGTCGTGTCATGATGCTCACCTGGGATGATTTCAAATATAAACTTCCCCGCTTCCTCTGGGTTGCTGACTGACTCCTTGATAGTGCTTCCCTGCAGAAACAGGCAGCCCTAGAAACGAAGACAGCAATAGCCTTCAATCAGCCATTTAAAAATGGTCCTGTTTGGTCCACGTTGGTAGTGATAGATACAATACTCATAAAATCATCGCAATATCGGGCTGGAAGAGACCTCCAAAAGGCATCAGGTCCATCCCCCTGCACTGTAGCAGGACTAAGTAAACCTAGACCATCCCTGACAGGTGTTTGTCCAACCTGTCCTTAAAAAACCTTCAATGATGGGGATTCCACAACCTCCCTCAGAAGCCTGTTCCAGAGCTTAACTACCCTTACAGTTAGAAAGTTTTCCCTAGTATCTAACCTAAACCTCCCTTATTTCAGATGAAGTCCATTATTTCTTGCCCTACCTGCATGGAAAACAATTGATCCCCACCCTCTTTATAACAGCTCTAAACATATCTGAAGACTGTTAACAGGTCCCCTCTTTAGTCTTATTTATCAAGACTGAACCGGCTGTTTTTTTTAACTTTTCCACATAGGCCAGGTTAAACCATCATCATTTCTGTTGCTGTCCTCTGGACTCTCCCCAATTTGTCCACATCTTCCTGAAAGCGTGTTGCCTAGAAATGGACACGCTACTCCGCCAGTGCCTAGGAGAGCGTGACAATTACCTTCTGGGTCTTCGCAAAAAGAAAAGGAGTACTTGTGGCACCTTAGAGACTAACCAATTTATTTGAGCATGAGCTTTCGTGAGCTACAGCTCATTTCATCGGATGCATACCATGGAAACTGCAGCAGACTTTATATACACACAGAGATCATAAAACAATACCTCCTCCCACCCCACTGTCCTGCTGGTAATAGCTTATCTAAAGTGATCATCAAGTTGGGCCATTTCCAGCACAAATCCAGGTTTTCTCACCCTCCACCCCCCCACACACAAACTCACTCTCTTGCTGGTAATAGCCCATCCAAAGTGACAACTCTCTACACAATGTGCATGATAATCAAGGTGGGCCATTTCCTGCACAAATCCAGGTTCTCTCACCCCCTCACCCCCCTCCAAAAAACACATACACAAACTCACTATCCGGCTGGTTATAGCTCATCCAAAGTGACCACTCTCCCTACAATTTGTGCTGGAAATGGCCCAACTTGATGATCACTTTAGATAAGCTATTACCAACAGGACAGTGGGGTGGGAGGAGGTATTGTTTTATGATCTCTGTGTGTATATAAAGTCTGCTGCAGTTTCCACGGTATGCATCTGATGAAGTGAGCTGTAGCTCACGAAAGCTCATGCTCAAATAAATTGGTTAGTCTCTAAGGTGCCACAAGTACTCCTTTTCTTTTTGCGAATACAGACTAACACGGCTGTTACTCTGAAACCTGTCTTCTGGGTCTTACTTCCGACACTCCTGTTAATATATCCCAGATTGACATTAGCTTTTTTTTTTTTTTTTGGCAACTGCACCACATGGTTGACTCTCATTCAATTTGTGATCCACTGTAATCTCCCAGATCCCTCTCAGCAGGACCACCATCGAGCCAGTTATTTAAGAAGAATATCCCTTTGGCTGGGCGCAAGGTGAAACGGTTTGAGGAACATCTCCTTTAGCCTGGATTCTCTCACTGTGGATTTTAGGGAAGCACCAGCTCCAACTGACTGAGCAGGTTACATTCCATTATGATAAAGGCTACAGCAGTTAGATCAGTCGGTATCACCAAGATCATCTGGCTTGTGACTTTTACTTCCACATCAACAGATCACATGTCCAACCTAAAAAGGGATGTGGACTCCGGCTGGCAGACATAACTGCATGACTCAGCACAAGCAATGCCTCAGAATAGGGCTGCAGAGGGCAAGAGTAGGAGGCGGTGCCATGGATGGAAATAGAGAGGGCTTTAGCTAATTACGTGCTTATGTAGCCCACTTTGCTCAGGCCACATGTGGGGATTGCACCCAGCATCTTGGCAGTGCTAAAAGAATGAACCAAGTTGCTATGGTAATACCAATAATAATAATTAATAGTGAACTTCTACTGCTGCAGGCTGAGGTTCTCAACGGAAATATGGATGCATAGTTCCCTTTGAAATTAATGGGAGTAGCATCTCTACATCCCCTGGGTAGCTCTGCCAGTCTTAGTGTTCTAGCTAGAAGCAGTAGCAGGCTCATATCTAGAGCTGACAGGAATTTTGTCATCAAAGGAATCTGAACCAAAAAAATGGCTTTACATTTTCCACAATTTTTTGTTTTTGATGTAATTGTCATTGAAATTTCCCACAAAAAAGGCAGAGTGGGTTTTTTTTTTTTTTTTATTTGGGGGGAAAACCCAGGGAAAAAATCAGTTTTGGGTTAAAATGCTTTGCTTTTAGTTGAATGAAAAATGGTTTTCAGAAACTAAAAAAATGTCAGTTGAAAAACAACAAGAAAAATTGCAGGACATTTTGTCCAAAATGGAAAAAAAATTGTTTTGTTTGTTTTTTTTTAAATTTCCTCCACAAAATAATTGTGTTGTTTTTTTTTACCAGCTCTACTTGTATGTGGATCAGCCATTATCACTGGCATGTGTAACATATTAAACCAGGGATTATGCCTATGTTTTGGAGACAGCAGCTGAGTTAAAGGCAGTCTGGATGTTAAAAGCTGACTGATCAAAACACCTTGTGTATCCATTGGGACGGAAGACAGGGTACCATGCAGAGAGGGGATGGGGCCAACCTATGACCCGCAGGCCATACATGGCCCATCATAGCATTTCATAAGACCTGTGGCCTGCTTCAACACACTATACTAATGGCCAATTCATTTGCGTTTTGTTGTCATGTTTACATCAGTTTAGTTTACGCAAGTGTGTAAATAGACAGTACTGTACATAGAAACAACCTATCTAAATACACACAAAACAAGCTGAACTTTAAAATATAAATCAATATAGGTGACTATTCATATTTTAATGAGATTTAAAATCTGTTTGGCCCACTCAAGATTGTGCTTAGGCCCGCCTGTGTAATAGGTGTGGGCACCACTGCTCTACATTATTAATCTTCCTTCCCCCAAGGAGACATGGAGCTACAGAAGAAGGCAGGGCCATGTACCTGCTTTACTACCCTGGGAGTTTGTGATCCATTTTTGTGTCACTCAGAGGGGATTTAAGCAGGTTCAGAGACCCAGCTTGGAAGAGTCTGGCAGCTCCTTTAAAGGAAAGGTCTTGCAGCTGTGGGTGAAATTCCATCTAAGTCACTGGAGCTGGTCCCCTTTATACCACCAGCAGTAGCAGATGAAACCTTTGAAGTCAAGGGAGCTGAGTCTACATGGACCAGCAGGAAATCTCCCCACCCCCGCATGCGGCCATGCAAGTGAATCGTTAGCTGTCCAAAGGTGGCCACAGCTTTTTAAAGGTTGTCTGAAGTGTTAGCTGTCGTTAACACTTCTTGTGCGTTCAGCTGTGTTGCAAATGATGTGGCGGGGGCGGGGGGGGGGTGAGGAGGTGGAAAGGGATGCTAGATAAGTGGCAAGGCATAAACACAGGCCTTCTGAGCTTCCCTCCTATTTTGTGACTATCGCAATAAACCCTTCAGGAGCTGGGGCCCACAGAAATCAGTATAAGTCAGATCTACAAAAGAATATATTTCTGAAGAGCAAATATCCTGGCCTTGGAATGCACCAGATTACATGGTGTTATCACAAGGGATCCCATTCCTAAAGGGTGATCCCTGTTCTGCAAAATTCAGACTACATTTTGCCCTGAATTTTTTGGAAACTCTCTATTTCTTGCCCTTTTCTTCTCCACCTTATTCCCTCCAACCCTCTTGGGTGACCAGGCCCACGGCGGTGGTGGTGGACACCCCAGGGTGCCAGTAGCTCTAGAAGCTCTGTAAATGGGCCCCATATATTCCCTACAAAGCTGCAGAATTCATTCTGCCTCACTGCACATCTACTTAGGTCCTGCCCCTGCCCCTACTCCCCAATTCTTAGCCAGGGAGAACAGAGTTCTACATCAGGGCTTGGCCTGAACTTAAACCCCTGGAGCTGAACAACCTGCAGGCAGGACCTGGAGCCGGACATTATAGAAACTTTCTGCTCCCGGATCTCTAGCTGTCAGCTCAAATGCAACATGGCTAAACCTGTGTTCTTAATCTTCCCCATCTCCTTTCTCAAGCACTGTGAACAACACCACCATCCTACCAGTTACTCAGGACCATAACCTGGGCATCAGCTTCAACTCCGACCTCTCTCTAGAACCTCCCCTGCAGGCTATGTCTAAATCCTGTGAATTCTTCCAGCATCACGTCTCTAAGACATGGCCTTTCCTATCCATCCACCCCGCTAAGACTCTCGTTCAAGCTCTCATCAGGCCACGTCTCAGTCACTGCACCGTCCTTCTCGCTGGCCTTGACAAATGCAATCTTGCCTCTCTCCTATCCACTCAGAATGCTGCTGCAAAGATCATTCTCCTAGTCTGTCGCTTGGACAACGTCAGCCATCGCTGCCTCCCTCTTCTTTAGCACCTCAAACGCAAGCTGCTTGTCTTCACTTCCAGGCCCTTCGTGGCCCATGCCCACTATCAAAATATCGACTCCCACCTCGGATCAGCCCACCGTGCCAACTTCCATCATCTACTTGTTACACTTTCAAACAAGCAGCTTTGTGCTTTCCCGCACCCTGCCCCTCACGCCTGGGATAAGCTTCCCTTAAACGCCTGCAAAACGAACTCGATAGCCTCTTTCCAAACCCTTCTTAAAACTCGCCTTTGCCACAATGCCTAGAAAACACTTGAGAGCGGTTAGCACCCCGGTGTGCTAAGACCGCTGCCTGTCACACTGACCAATACTGTCTCATTGTTTCCTTGGACACCACCATTGGTCTGTGTGTATCCACCACTAATACGTCTCCAAACTCTTATACGTAGCTTGTAAGCAGCTTGGGGCAGGGACCCCTTCTTTGTTCTGTGTTCGTACAGTACCTAGTACAATGGGGTCTTGTTCCATGACTGGGACTCCTCAGTGCTATGGAAAGACAAGTAACAATAAATAGTAATATCAGTAGGGAAGGGGGCAGGATATTCAGGGCTCACCTCTGTGCTACATCCTCCCTGCCAAAAAAACATCTCCCCTATGGCTCCCTTCAGGACCCTTCCTAGACCAAGGACACAAAATGTGGGCTCACTGTACCTGGGGCTTGGCATCTTCCTCATCCTTGTAGTAACACAGCTGCTGGCCCCTCAGTACAAAGTACCGCTGTTGCCAGTTCTTGACGATGGAGCGCTGCTTCTTCAGCCAGCCGATCTTCAGGGGCCGCTCCAGCAGGTTGGGGGAGGCTGTCCAGTTGCAGGCCGCCATGGGATCACCGGTCATCACGCTCCTGGAACGAGCTGGAGAGAGGAAGACAGACACATAGTGACAGAGTGACATGGGATTCAGAGGAGCTCCCAGGTAGAGATTGGCTGTCCCATTAGGGGCAAGCCCACTGTAGCATGGATCGTGGGTCTCTTCCGACAGAGTTAAGTAAAACCTAAAATCGACTGCCCTGAGGCAATCAGAAACAGCTATCTGTCCCCTCTGCCTGCGAAAAGCCAACGGGCTAGAGGCTTTTAAAGGAAGTGGCTGCAGTATCTGTCAAAATATGCTTCCTTTTTCCTGCGTGGGAGTGACTGTCTCACAAATGAGAGAAGAGAATGATTAGTTTCTACATGGGACTGTTTCATTTAGACCCGTCCAAAAAAAAAAAAAGACACAGACATGATGGGGGAATTTTCAAAATTTGTTTTAAAGCAGTGGTTCTCAACCAGGGGTACACGTACCCCTGGGGTACACAGAGGTCTTCCAGGGGGTACATCAGCTCATCTTGATATTTGCCTACTTTTACGACAGGCTACATAAAAGCACAAGTGACATCAATACAAACTAAAATTTCACACAGACAACGACTTGTTTATATCGCTCTACATACCATACGCTCAAATGTAAGTATAATATTTATATTCCAATCGATTTATTTTATAATTATATGATAAAAATGAGAAAGCAAACAATTTTTCAGTAATAGTGTGCCGTGACACTTTTGTAATTTTTATGTCTGATTTTGTAAGCAAGTACTTTTTAAGTGAGGTGAAACTTGGGGGTACGCAAGACAAATCAGACTCCTGAAAGGGGTACAGTCGTCTGGAGAGGTTGAGAGCCACTGTTTTAAACTAAAAAGAAAAGGAGTACTTGTGGCACCTTAGAGACTAAGCAATTTATTTGAGCATGAGCTTTCGTGAGCTACAGCTCACTTCATCGGATGCATACCGTGGAAACTGCAGCAGACTTTATATACACACAGAGATCATAAAACAATACCTCCTCCCACCCCACTGTCCTGCTGGTAATAGAGACAATGGTAATGGAGAGTGGTCAGTTTAGATGAGCTATTACCAGCAGGAGAGTGAGTTTGTGTGTGTATGGGGGTGGGGAGATGTGAGAAAACCTGGATTTGTGCAGGAAATAGCCCGACTTGATTATGTAAAGAGTTGTCACTTTGGATGGGCTAGCACCAGCAGGAGAGTGAATTTGTGTGGGGGGGTGGAGGGTGAGAAAACCTGGATTTGTGCTGGAAATGGCCCACCTGATGATCACTTTAGATAAGCTATTACCAGCAGGACAGTGGGGTGGGAGGAGGTATTGTTTTATGATCTCTGTGTGTATATAAAGTCTGCTGCAGTTTCCACGGTATGCATCCGATGAAGTGAGCTGTAGCTCACGAAAGCTCATGCTCAAATAAATTGGTTAGTCTCTAAGGTGCCACAAGTACTCCTTTTCTTTTTGCGAATACAGACTAACACGGCTGTTACTCTGAAACCTGTTTTAAACTAATTATTCTGGGTGATACTTCGAAAGGTGCCGTCTGCCTTTTGAACAGCTCACACAACACAGAACGTATCTGAAAGATCAATGAGATTGCAAACTCTTTGGGGCCTGGGCTGTCTTTTATTGCATGGTAAAGAGGTTCCTGGCACAAAGGGGCCCTGATCCTGATGGGTCCCTCTAGGAGCTACAGCAATGTTGAATACCGATCCAGGGTGATCGTTGCCTAAAGAGGAAAGGTATAGCTGCTCCTTCTATTTTCATCTGTGGGACAGTCATCCGGGCACCTAAATAGCTGTGCGTCACACTCTCCGCATCGGAGGTCAGATGGCATTGTCGTTATGTGCATGGACGATCCCGACTATATACAGTGCAACTCTGTTTGTTTTACTGTTCCCTGCTTGTGGCAGCCGTTTGACTCTCTGGGTGTGATTCCCCTCTCACCTCATCAGCCTAAATGGGGAATAAGTCCACTGACGTCAACGAAGTAAAGCTGCTGTGAGTGACCTAGGACTCAGGCCCGCTGAATCATCCGTCACATTTCAAAAGTCATTTCCTGTTGGCGTGAATGTTCTTGCCCTTTATGCAACAGTAATAATAAAATCTACCTCTTGTCTCATGCTTTTTAGAAAGGGGATCGGTATTGTGATCCCTATTTTACAGATGGGAAACCAGAGGCACGTGGGGGTGAAGTGACTTACCCCAGGTCACCGAGGAGCAGAACCAGGGATAGAACCTAGGTCTACTGAAGCCCAGTCCAGTACACTGGCCAAGGCCTCCGCAGGCTGTTACAAGAGGTTAATGTCTGCAAGGTTAAAGACTTTCACACCTTTTCAGAGGCGCTCAGTTACAATGTCCACCTATCTACTTATATGGCCCCCGCTACCATTTGAGCACTTCCCATTTACAAGTAAAAATAACGACTCTCTCTTCCTTTCCAGCTTGATTCGTTTTCTGTTTGTCTGCTTGCGTCCACCTCTGTACATGGTGAGCAGGCACATCCTATGCCTATATGGGCATACATGTGCGTGTGTTGAGCGATTGCGTTGTGCACAGGCAAGAGTGTGTGTGTGTGTGTGTTGTGGGCTTGTGACAGTGCACCTTTGGGTGGAGAAATTATTGAGGGAAGGCTGAGCCAAAGAAATGAGTTGTGTGCAGCCTTCTGAAAGTGCTTCGTGGTTCTTTCTGTGGTCAGGGAGTGTCAGGGGGGCTGGAACAATTTGTACAGTGGGGGTGCTGAGAGCCATCAAACCAAACTGTAAACCCTGAATATGATGGAAACCGCTTCAAGCCAGAGGGTGCTGCAGCACCTCATGCATCCCTAAGTCTAGCACCTAGAGGGAGCATTGCAGTTTAGGGGAATGTCAGTGAGGCCTGAATACAGCCCAGCTCCCTGCCTTTGCCATTAAAACACCTCCAGAAGAAGACCCCACTCTGTCGCTGCAAGACAGAAGCCTGCCTCTTTCCACTCATCTAGTCACATGCACCTGTGCAGAGTGGCTGCATAATGGTACCGGTCTGATTTCGTTATGTTTCACACTCACTTTGCACGAGTGCAAAGAACTCCTCCAGGTGCGCAGCAGTAGAGAATCAGGTTTTTTGTTCCTGGGCATATGTTGATATGGGAAGTTCCTCCCTATATGGATCTGGATTTAGGGTGGGCTTTTCAATGGGATTTGAATGCCAAACTCCTTTACGGTATATCTGCTCTGCAATGATAAATCTGCGGTGCCAAGTCTCAGAGTCTGGTCAATTGATTAGAGCTTGCGGGGGGGGGGGGGGGGGGGGTTGCTAAAAAGGGCAGTGTAGATGTTCAGGCCTGGGCTGGAGCCTGGGTTCTGAAACTCAGTTTGTGGGGAGGGTATCAGAGCCCTGGCTCCAGCCTGAGCCCGAATATCGACACCTTCGCTTTTAGCCCTGCACCCCAAGCCCCGTGAGCCTGAGCCAATTGACCCGGGCTCTGAGATGCAGTGCCGTGCGTGGTGCTTTGCAGTGTAGACGCACCCTGAGACCACAGCCTCAACAAGCAGGATCAAAACGGGGGTTTCCTGATCAGAACCTCAGGAGTTAGAACGATTCAAAATTCTGTTGCTAACACGTCCCTGTTATTCAAGCCCCCTGAGAAAGATTCAGAACATGCTAACAAAACACCTGCTAATTTACAGGGGCATTCCTACTCCCTGATCGCATCCCTTCATGCCACACGGGATGTTTACTCAGTGGGTTAGGATTTTTAGAGGATGATGCAGAGCATGAGGGCTGGACAGAGTGAAAATCTGACTCCATTAAACTGAATGTTGCTGTCCGAAGAGCGCAGCCCCCCTAAGGCAAGTGCAGTTCTGCAAATGTTTGTTTTGCAAAACCACAACCTGCTTCTAATGTGTTAAACCAGGACTGGGCAAACTTGAAACCACTCCATCCCTGTTGTAGTACAAGCCATGCTCCCACGCACAGCAACCAGACAAGTGCGAGCTCTTGGCTGACAGCTCCGTTCTGATGAAAAGCGCCATCCGGGAGGCTACCATAACATGGCAAATGAGAGGGACAAAAGGTGCTGTCTATGCACAAGTATTCACTGCAGAGTTAGCCTGGGGTAGTTTAGCGTGAGTGGAGCGTCCCCACGACAGACCTCTACCCGAGCCAGACCTGTGTGGCTGCCTCCACAATGGTTCTGTACTGGCCCATGTGCGGGGCCGGATTTCTAGCAAGACCTCCTGTGGCTTTGAGTGGTGCATTGAAGTGGGCCACTCTGTGACCTCATTTGCAGAGTATTGTCTCGTCTGTCCTTCCTACGGAAATGCTCCTACGGGTCTTACTGACATCACACCACACCAGAAGGCAGGTATATCAGCTTCTGGCCAACTGCAGCACTGGAGAAGGATTTCTTGGATGGCATCTCTCTGTTCAAATGCTGTACAAGTATAACCGGGATAGGACTGGCAGACTAAGCACCCGGGCTGGGTGAGGCTGAGTTCTCACTGCAAAGTAGGCTGGTTGCCAGCCTGGGCTGAAGTAAAATCCAAGATGTAGCCTATAATCTCAGCCATGACGTTAAAGCACCCTCACGCCCGGGTGAGATGTTCTATGTAGATTGAAGGGGTTGGGGCAACACTCAGGCTAGACCCCAGGCTAACTCTGGAGTGAAGACAGAGACCCTAAAGGTAACCTGCCTGGCCCCTTGGGCCATCCTGTGTGCAGATGCTACGGCATCAGCATGCTCCAGTCTCAGGGGCAGTACAATGGAAGTGAAGGGGATGGTCTTATGGTTAAGGCACTGGACTGGGACTCAGGAGATTCCTGGCTCTGCCACTGTTTTCCTATATGACCAGGGGCAAGTCACTTTAACCTTGCTGTTCCTCAGCTCCCCATCTATGCAATGGGGATAATGATACTTGCTTTCTCCCACCCTTTGTCGATCTTGTCCATTTGGAGTATAACTTAGGGACTGTCTGACACGACGTGTACAGACAGCACCTAGTGCCCTGGGGTCCTGACCTCAGTTGGGGTCTCTAGACCCCACTGTACTGCA